CGTCGGGGACCCACAGGGGCGCTCGCAGGGGGATCCTGGGGCTTAGAGGCGCCGGGCCGCAGGGGGGCCGCCCCTCCCCCCAGCAGACCGCGGCCCGCGCCCTCCGCCCGGCCCTCGCCACACCCCGCGGCCCCGGGCCGACCCCCAGCGGGTCGGACGGCGGCTCCTGAGGCAGCGCGCCTCAGGAGCGCCCCCGGCACGGGCGTGCGGCCTAGTCGGGGGTTACATAACGGGGCTGGACCCCTCAGGAGCGGGGCTGGGGGACCGCACGGGCCCATGCGGGGCTGAGGGGCGCCGCCGCTCACCTGCCGTAGATGCCCTCGGTGATCCGGTTCCGCTTTAGGGGGCGGCGGAGCTTACTGCAGTCGGCGTTCCGCCGCTTCATCCTCCCGCTGGGGGGCCGGTGCCCGCGCCGCCGCCGCCTCTCACCTCAGCCGCCGCCGCCCGCCCGCCCCGCGTCGGGCCTGGACTCTACCCCTGCGGCCGGTCACGCAGACATGGAGCCAGCACCCGGGGGGGAGGGGGGCCGGGAGGGGGGGCTCCGAGCCGCCTCCGCCTTCGGAAACAAAGAAATGACAATTCCGGGGCCCGCCCGCCCCGCACCAGCCAGCCGTCCGCCCCGCCTTCTCAACCCCGATGGACAGCCCGTCCAGCCAATCGAAGGCGCCGCTCCGCCGCCACCGACCAACCCCAGGGCTCGCTGAGCCAACACGGACCCTTGGACCCGCCTCTTTGAAAGATAGAAAAATGCGCCAATCAGGATGGGGCCTAGGAGCAGGGCTGGGCCTATCAGAAAAGATTTAAATAGAGGCTTATAAATAGGCCCTATAAATATAACATCCTATATTATGCCTTGTTGCGAAGGTGCGCCTCGTGGTTTTCGGGTTGCGTCTAGCTGTGGGGTGACCCGCGCCGGAGCACACCGTGGCGTGCGGCGCTGCAGGCTCCGGTCTGGCGTGTGAGAACCGGGCGGCCCGGGTGTGCGGCATGTGCGGACCTGGTGCTGACATGTGCTTCAGTCAGCCGCGTCCTTATGTAAGAGCGCGTCCCGAGAGCGGCGCCCAGGCCCCTTATGCGGAGCGCGGTAGCGTGCGGACGCGGCCGGGCGCCGGGGGTACGAATGACAAAGCAAACACCACACACATACACACACGCACACGCACACACACACCCAGCCAGCTTCCCGCGACGTGGTGACAGCGCGACGCCCAATCGGAGCGGGTGGGGCGGGGCCTAGCAGGCACCGCCCCCTCTGGTTACGTCACGAGGCGGGACCGTGGGTGCGCGCGACGTCGCGCAGGCCTGCCGGGGAGGGGGGGGGCGGCGCGTGTGAGGCAGCGCGGCAGGGCTCCATGTCTGCGGGTTCGCGGCGGTGGCCTCGGGAAGCGTCTGCCCAGGTCGGCCATCCTTCGCGTCCCTGGCGACGCCTTCACATCTCGCGCCGGTTCGTGCCAGGCATTTTGCTGGGTGGTTTGCGTCTGTTAGCTCCTTGTACATCTCTAGCCTTGCCTTAGAGGTAAGCTAACGTAACCTGTGGAAACGTCGGCAAAGGACCGGCGAGATGGCTCAGCGGATAAAGCCGCCTGCCGCCAAGCCTGTCAACCCGAGTTGCCTGGGACCTGCAAAAGTGGAAGGCGAGAACAGACTCCCGCAAGGTGTCCTCTGACCTGCATACGCCCATCCACTCACACACACACAAGGAACTATGTGTCAAAACCAAGGAACTATGAAAGGTAGCCATAAGGAGAAAAACACTCGCAGGTCTCATGATCCTAACCACTCTTACATTTTTTTTTCTTTTTTTCCCTGTCTCCTCAGATACATTTATCAGCACTGAAAAGTCAGCAGAATTGGACAGAATTTTCATCACGGGGGACTAGCTTTTTTGTGTGTGAGGCTTTTTTTTTTTTTTTTTTTTTTTTTTCTTTTTGTCCTTTTGAGACAGGGTCTGCCTGTAGCCCCAGCTGTCCTAGAACTCACTATGTAGATCAGGCTGGCCTTGAAAGCACAGATTCGCCTGCCTTTGCCTCCCGAGTGCTGGGGATAAAGGTGCGGTAGGAGTAGCATTTTACTGTATGGCTTTTCTCCCCAATTTTCTATGTGACTGATACTATTAGCTAGGATGGTGCTCATACTAGACATCTAACTTTGCATCCTAGTCTTCATTTAGGACAATGCACCCCATATCAATTTCTTCTAATGGTTGTAGAAAGTCCTAGCAAGTGACTTTATACCATATCACCTTAACCCCTCAACAACAGTGAAACAGTCATCTAGTCCATGTTTTTTCTAGATTTCCAGGAACTAGATGCCATCTTGTTTTCCTGGGATACAGTGTAGGAGAGGTGCACTGGTCTTGTGATCACCCCTTTAGTCAACACCACCGCTAAGCTCAAAGTTTACACCAGTGCCTTATCCTCACTCGGCTCCATCCCCCGAGTGTCTGGAAGGGAAAACCCACTGTTTATGACACTCAGAGTTTATTACCATGGAAGTTACCCTCCTCCTCTAGGCCCTACAGGCAAGCAAGTCTTGTCTCCAGTTTTAGCCCCATTGCAACTTGGTCTTCCATCCTTCCTGTGCTCCCGGAGAACCCAGAGTATCTCAGGGTGCAACTTCTTAAAGTGTTTAAAGTGTCGCCTGCAAGACTTAACCATCCTTGGAGGCTTATCGTCATCCCCCTCCTAGGAGCTTCATGGGGATCAGATCAGTACCCTGTGGAGATGCAGTTTTGAAAAATGGCAAGGATTCCTGTTGTGTGAGACCAAGGTTGAAATTCCAGCTTGGCCACTTACTAGCTTGGGCAAGTTGCTGAATCCCTCAGAGCCTCTGATTACACTCAGTTCTGTGTCAGGGCTAGGAGGCTAATGCACCCTCAAAGTCAGGCGGCAGGGCAAAGCAGCTCTGCTCTGCGCTTCTCTTTTATTTTCCTTCCTTTCTTATCATTTACTTTTTTCCATTTTTGGCAAGTTCTATGTAGCCCAGGCTAGCCTCCGAACTTGTGCTCTCCTGCCTCAACCTCTAGAGTGCTGGCAGTACAAGTGTGTACCACTGCGGGCGTGGTGGTGCACGCCTGTAGTCCCAGCACTCGGGAGGCAGAGGCACGTGGATCTCTGTGAGTTCAAGGCCAGCCTGGTCTACATAGTGAGTTCCAGGCCAACTGGGGCTACCGGTAGACCCTGTCTCAAAAAGACTAAAAGAAAAAAAAAAAAAGTGTGCTAACTCAGGCACCTGCTTTCAACACTGCTTGTCAATCTATCTCTGCTCCAGCATACTGGCAAAACTGCACTGTGTGGCCAGGATAAGAAACTTTGAGCTTAAAGTTTTACCCTGGCCTGCCCCTTGTTGAGCAGCAGAGACTTGAGCTGCCCAAGCAGAATGGTTCATGAAGGAAGTCCACGGGGTTGAGGCTTAAATGCATGGGGAGGACAGATACTTGGTAAAGTCCTGGCTCTAGACTCTCTGGTCACTCCAAACCCAAACAATCCCTTCTCCTTAGGACTGCAAGCTTCCAGATTTCCTGGGACAGAAACTAAGTCAGTAAAGTCCAATAGGAATAGACTAATCTTGGATCCTTTTGTTTCCCCTTGTCCTTGTTAGGATAGAGCTGTCACACACCCAGTAGATTATACAAGGTATGTTCCAGAGGAACTATGGGAGGACACTGGGGAGGCGTGCCAAGGTCTGTGGAGCTCACAGTCCAGCCTGCCGTCAGATTGTACTGTGACGGGAGTGTGCTTTGGGAAGCTTACAGTCAGTCAGTCACTGGGAGCACTGAAAGCACCAGAGAGAATCTAGTGACTGAGAAGCCATCAGGTCTGGAGGTGAGGGTATAAAGAGACACTTTTGAACCCTCCCTTTGGCTGCCAGACTATTGAAACAATGGGCCCCAAGAAATAGGAATTCCCCTAGGAATCTCCTGCTGGGAGAAGAAAAAGGTGAGGCCCTAGGAGCAGCCAGAAAGTAATTTGTCTCCTGAAGAAAGATTTACAACTGTTCAGACCACCTTGTGGGAGAGCCTGAGGATGGTGGGTAAATGATGGGTGGGACCACACCTCGGAGGATACCACTAATGTTCTGTGGCTTCAGGCCTTCTAAGTAGTTCTCACTCTCCCTTAGTTTCCTGAATAAGGACTGGGGTGGGGAGGGGAGGGGCCTCGCTAGATATCTTTGTCACTTTCCCAAATGCGGCCTCATAACTTAATCTTTTTCTTTTTTTCTCTCTATTGATTTGTCTGTTCAGTTGGCTTATTGAGGACTGGAGTCTACCTTGCTGAGGCTACCAGGATGTAGGCTCTGACTCTAACTCCAGTAACAATCCAGATTCAGATGATGAATCCTGCCCACTCTGTGCCAGGATTCCCTCTAGAGCCCCTTCTAGCCCTGTGATTAGAAGCAAGTCACATTAGCTCCATTTTACAAAAGAGAAACTGAGTCTCGTGGGAAAGATCACATAGTTGATACAGTAGTTTAGCTCAGCACTAGCTGAGCAAGACCAAGCCTTGAGGGGTACGTGCCACAGAGCCTGTGACAGCTGCAGGTGACTAGAGTGCTGTCTGGCCGTAAGAAAATGAGGATGGCCTTTTAAAAATTGTATTTTAGGCCTAGGTGTGTTGGCACATACCTTTAATCCCAGCACGGGAGGAAGAGGCAGGCAGATCTCTGTGAGTTCAAGATCAGTCTGGTCTACAGAGTGAGTTCCATTAGTTGGGGCTGTAGGGAGACTTTGTCTCAAAAAGATTAAAAAAGAAAAAAAAGAAAGGAGAAAGCAGGCTGGACACCAGCCTTCATCCCTCTGCCTCTTAACTGTGGGTACAAGATGACCAGCTGCCTCAAGTGCCTGCCACCTTGCCTTCTCTGCCATGATTTACTATATCCTCAGACCAAGAGCCTTTGTCAGGTATTTTGTCCCAGCAACAAGAAAAGTTACTGATACACGTGTCTAAAAACAGCAAAGGCACAAGGCCCAGATGGGAATTTAGGCCTGTCCTTCCTTGGCTGTGATGAACAGGGTGCTGGGATTTGCACTTAGGCTTCAGCAGGATTCAGAACAATCCTGGCAAGATCCTGTTTCACACATAAGGAAGAGGCCTTGCCACACCCAATTCTTGGAAGGAGCTTTCTTTCTCTCAAGCCCATAGGCAGCACTGGCCTATCTGCCCTGAGCTTTGTGCCTGTCAGTGAGAGTCACAGCAAAGCCCACAACTTGGCATTGGCTAATATAACCATCTACCTGTATCCCTCAGAGAACCCTATCTATAGAGGAAGTTTGAGCCTGGAGAGATGGCTCAGTGGTTAAGAACACTGGCTGTTTTTGCAGAAGACCCGGGTTTGAATCCCAGCACCCACATGGCAGCTAACAACAGTCTGTAACTCCAGTCCCAGGGGATCCAACAGCCTCTTCTGTCTTCTGAGGGCATTGCACGACATAGGTGCACTTACCTACACGCAGGCAATACACGCGTACACATAAAATAAAAATAAAATTTAAAAAAAAATAGGAAGTTCACTGTGGTCAGAACCAGGGAACTGTAGGGCTGGAGAGTTGGCCCAGTGGTTAAGAGCACTGACTGCCCTTGCAGAGGACCAGGGTTCGATTCCCAGCACCCACATGGCAGCTAACAACTGTCCTAACTCTGGTTCCAGGGAAATCGTCCCCCTCTTCTGACTTCCTCAGGTTGCACAACACAGGTGCACTTACACACATGTAGGCAATAGACTCATGCACATAAAATAAAAATAATAAATAAATTAAAAAAAAAAAAACAAACAGGGCACTGTAACAGAGGATGGTGGTGCATGCACTGGAAGGTGGAGACAGGAGGATCAAGAGTTTAAGATCATGCTTGGCTACCTTAGAAAATCTGAAGTCAGCCTGGGCTACATGAGATCCTGTCTGTGAGGATAGGTCTTCCTACCTCAATTAACTTAATCTAGAAATTCCTCAATCAGGTTCACAAGATTAACAATCCAGAAGCCCAAATGCTCAGGATCAAATCACTTCCCAAAGGCTCAGCAGCACAGAGCCAAGTCCCAGTACATGCACCTTGTGGGAGATGCTTCACATCACAGGCCCCAATATCAGCCATGCTGTGCTTGGCTCTCCTGAGAAGGTGGCACTTATTCTCATAGAGCCCCAGCTTTTAAAAATTAATTATTTTTGTTTTATGTGTGTGAGTGTTTTACCTGTATGTATGTAAGTGCACTTGTGCGTGCAGTGCCCTTGGAGGCCAGAAGAGAATGTCAGACTCCCTGGAACTGGAGTTACAGATGGCTGTGAGCTGCCATGTGGGTGCTGGGAACCAAAGTAGCAAGTGCTCTTAACTGCTAAGCTATCTCTCTACTCCCCACCCCACCCACCTACCCTCCCACCCTTGCTTTTTACGGTTTGGGGGATTTTTGTTAGTTTGGGTTTTTTGTTTTGTTTTTTTTTTTGTTATATGAGAGAGGGTCTTACTATATGGCTGTATGAAATAGGAGCTGTGGAGACTACCAACCAGGCAACTCCATGGAGTGGGTGTGGGTGTTTGTTTAGAGAGCAAACAGACTCCTGGGCTGCCTTTCAGGGAGCAGGGGAACGGCAGAGAAACAGCAGTGAGCAGGGGGAGTCAGACATCTTTTATAGGCAGTTCAGTGGTTGGGTAACTTTCCATGACGTAGGATGGGCAATTTAACTCAGGATTGGTTGGTCTTCCAGGGAGCAGCGGGACTTGCCTGGGGCTAAGATCAAACTCGCCACTTTAGAAGGTTGGGAGCTACACAGCCATTTTAGGAGCCTGCCAGGAACCTAACAATAATAGCTCTGGCCATCCTGGAACTTTCTATGTAGACCAGGTGCCTTGAATTCGTCTCGTCAAATGTTGGGATTAAAGACATGTGCCACCACACCTGGTCTTCCAGTTTTACAGAAAGCATGTGATTTAGTGTGAAGACCAGCAGGCCCCGACTTGGTTCAACATTCCTGGGGAGCTAACCACTAGAGCAGGATGCCACTGTTGCAACACCATCAGCCCACCCTCACTTCTATGATAATATTGCTAGACATGCTTTAAGTGCCTTCAGATTTGGAATAATCCTGGGAACAGGGTGCCTTATTTGACCCCTAAGGAAATGGATACAGATGTTTGGTAACTTGGGAGGCAGAACTGCAAAGTTCACAGCACAGGCCATGCTGTCAGATATATGGGGCTGGGTTCCAGCCCTGCCAGGTATCAGCAGTGTGACCTTGACAGTGGCATCGCCTCCCAAAGCAGCAGTTTCCTCATTAGTGAAATGGAGGCAATGATGCTGTACTCCAGCGTTTGGGGAGAGATTAAGTGAAAGCATGCATGCAAAATACTTGAGCCAGTTTACACTGCTGAAGTGACAGCTCTTGGTCAGTTAACCTGTGTTTACTGAGCACCTACTGGGTGTGAGACCCCTAACTTGTCTAACTGCTTCTTTCTACTTCTGTAATTTGCTTGGTTCAAGACTGCACTAACTCCATTTTGACTAGCTGTTTCAGGCATGTTGTAATCTTCAGCTACCACCCCCATCCCAGAAAGCTATAGATCAAGTAAGCCCAGGTATATAGCAGCCTTCTAAGGTAATAACAGAAACTGCTGGCCCCACAGATCCGCTGCATCGGTGAAATCTGAGGGCCCCGAGCTTAAGCCCAAATAAAGGCCCTTTGCTGTTGCATACACTCCAGACTCCCTGGTGGTCATTGGGGGTTGTTAGATCTGGGTGTAACACTAGGGGCTGGGTACCTGTGACAAAGATATAGCACTGGCCACAGCTGTGAAAATTCCTGTACTTGCTAGGTGTGGTGGTGCATGCCTTTAATCCCAGCACTTAAGAGGCAGAGGTGGGTGGATCTTTGTGAGTTGGAGGCCAGCCTGGTCTACATAGTGAGTTCCAGGCCAGCTAGGGCTACAGAGAGACCCTGTCTCAAAAAGACAAAAATAGGGGCTGGAGAGATGGCTCAGCAGTTAAGAACACTGGTTGTTCTTGCAGAAGACCCGGGTTCCAATCCCAGCACCCACATGGCAGCCAACAACCTTCTAACTCCAGTTCCAGGGGATCCGAAGGCCTCTTCTGTTCTCACGGGCATTGTATGACATGGTGTACTTACCTATATGCAGGCACCGCACTCATACACATAAAGTAAAAGAATAAATAAAATGTTTTTTTTAAGACAAAAATAAATAAATAAATAAATAAATATCCCTGTTCTCTCATTGCTATTATTGGTGTTTGTTGTGATTGTTGTTTTGAGACCGGATCCTATTGTATAGCCCAGGCTGACCCTAGACTTCCTGTCGACCTCCCGAGTGCTAGGAGGACAGGTGTATATCACCAGGCTCAGCTAAAAGTCCCTGTTCTCGCCAGGCATGTAATCCCTCTATCACTTGAGAGGTAAGGTAGGAAGATCAGGAGTTCAAGATCACCCTTGACTCTATAGCAAGTTTGAGGCCAGCCTGAAGTACATACATGAGAAGGAAGGAAGGAGGGAGGGAGGGGGGAGGAAGGGAGGAAGGAAGGGAGCTAACTTGCATCCCTGTATCTGGTACCTGCACAGCAGCCACTGAGCTCTAGCTCCAGTCCCAACCGCAGCCTTTCTTATGGGATTCAATGAAAATAGACCAAAGACACAAGTGAAGGGTGGGTGGGTGTCAAGAGAGTAGGATGCTCTCCTTTAAACTGAGTAGGGCTGGGCATGGTGATGCACTGCACTCAGGAGGCAGAAGAAGGAAGACTGCTGCAAGGTCAAGGTCAGTCTGGTGTGTGCGTAGTGAGTTCTAAGTCAGGGCTACATAGCAATAGCCAAAAAAAAACCCAATAAATTAAATTAAATTGAATGGAGCACAGTTGGCGCTCACAGCAGGAACCCAGACAGGACTTGCTGAATAAATGACCGTGCTGAATATTAAATGTGTTGTCTTGCCTTCCCTTAAATCCCTCTGCTGGTGTTAACTCCTCACACAGGCTGGCCCAGCCAACCTTGCAGCCTGAGATAAGGCCTTTGGCAGTGTCTCCCCTATCTCTCCTTCAAGTGGGTGTGGGGGACAGCATGAGGCCCTGTGCTGGCAGAACCCCTGCACAGAGACGACTCGAGATGGGCTCCAAGTACCCACAGTCTGTCCGCTTCTGCCTGCCCCTGTGGGCCCTGGCACTGCAGGCCACTTTCACACTCCTCTTTACCTTCTTCATCTCCTACGATACACCCTCAGTGGATCAGAAGTTCATGGAAACATATCAAGGTAAGGGGCCTGGGGAAGTGGTCACAGAGGCAAATGGGGCAGGGGTAGTCTTCCCCAAAAGCATTGTTGCTCTTTTCTAGAGAAATCCTAAAGAAAGGAATTTCTGTGCTTACATAGATTGTGCTGATACTCAGCTGACAGTGTAGGCCCTGATTTCAGAGTGGCCTGGACATTACCTCTTCCATGAAGCCCTCCTGGATTTGTCAGCACGGAGAGCCTGCTTGCCTGTGGTCCCCAAATTCCCTGTGTCCAGTGGTCTTTTTAATGCTGTGCTTCTCTTTCCTTTGTGTCAAGGACTGTCATGTTGTATCATATGATGGGATACCTCCTTTGCTCTTTCCTTTAAAGATTATTTGTAATTATGTGTGTGTGTCTGTGTCTGTGTATGGAGTGCAGGTGCCTGCAGAGACCAGAGGCATCAATCCCTCTGGAGCTGTAGTTACATATGGGAGGTTGTGAGCTGCCTAGTGTGGGTGCTGAGAATCAAACCTAGGTCCTCTGTAAGAGCTGCTGAGCCAGCTCTCCAGCCCCAACCTTTGCTCTTTTCTGAACTCCATTTTCCCCTCTGCCCTGCCTTCTCTCTTGGGGGCTGGGACGTCTGCTTTTGGTGCAACCAGAGCCAGAAAGAATGGCTGGTGGGGCACCATAGGGTAGTGGTTATTTTATATGCAGCTTAAAATAGACTCGGACTGTGATGAGAGCAACTATAAACAAGACAGATGTCCACAGCACTGTGAGTTTGCTGCTGTAGAAATCCCAAGATGTGTCTGAAGCCTCTGGCGGGCTGACAAGATGCTCATGCTAATGGATGGGTCTCCTTCGCCATGGCCTAGAGACAGAGCCCCAGCCTGAACCTGACCTGACCCACTGCTACCTTGTGCCTCAGTGATGGGAACTGACCTGTTGGCTAAAAGCAGAGGTGAGCAGCCAGGGGCACCTCGAAGGCAAATCGGTCAGAATGATGTGGGATGGAGAGCCCTGCTCTACCTCATGGCTGGTTCTCAGTGCCAGAGAAGCAAGACCTAGGCACAGTTCTAATTTATTTTCATTCACTTCTTTTATCTCCAACACAATGTTTATTCCAATTCTATGCATTTCTTTGTTTCTCCACTCATTCGAGTATCATACTGTGTATGGGGTCTGGGCAAGTGGAGAGTGCAGATACTCTTATTGAACACTTGCTGTGTACCAGGCATGATTCTAAGAGCTTCATGGTGGGCCCTCACAACAACTCAATAGGGCGGGTGCCCATCTCCATCTCTCATTGAAGAAACAGGCACCTGGATGTTAAGTCATTTTCCCAGGGTTGCCTAGCGAGCATTGACATCAGGGTGACACAGTCATCCTTGTTTCAGTTGCCATGTTCCTGACTCGTAGTCTTTTCACGCATGGCTCCTTTCACAGTAGGGCCAAGTCACTTGTCATCTAAGCAGTTAGTTGTAGGAGCCACTCAGCCAAACTGGTAGCTTGGCACCAGGGGCCTCACTGCCTGCTAGCCTCCAGCATCACTACATTAAATGCATTTTATACATTAAGCCAGGCATGGTAGCATATGCCTGTAGTCCCAGCTACTTAGGAGACTGAGGTAGAAGGATCACTTAAGCCTAGTCTGGGTGACATAGACTCTCATCTCAAATATATACGTATGTATACACACACATATGTATCGAATTATAATACATACACACAGATGTAAATTCAAAGAGAGTAAAATATAATATACATGATATTATTATTATTATCTTTTTGAGACAGAGTCTCCCTGTAGCCCCAGCTGTCCTGGAACTCACTATGTAGACTGGGCTGGCCTCGAACTCACAGAGATCCACCTGCCTCTGCCTCCTGAGTGCTAGGATTAAAGGCGTGTGCCACCATGCCCAGCTTACATGATATTTTTAAATAAGAGTGTCAGTCCCCCGTGGAGCCCCTTGTCAACACTGAAGACAGTGGGTGTAAATCCATTTCTCACATCCCCTTGAACCTTTTAGATTGTTTTGGTTGCCAGATATGGTAGGCACATCTGTAATGTCAACAGTTGGGAGGCTGAGGCAGAAGGAACATGACTTCAAGGCTAGCCTGAACTACACAGCAAGTTCTAGGTTAATTTAGAAAAAAACTTTTTTTTAATATTTTATTATTTTTATTTTATGTGTATGAGTGTATTGCCTGCATGTATGTGAGTGCACCCGTGTCGTGCAATGCCGCGGAGGTCAGAAGAGGGCTTCGATTCCCCTGGAACTGGAGTTAAGGACCGTTCATAGCCACCATGTGGGTGCTGGGAATTGAACCTGGGTCCTCTGCAAGAGCAGTCAGTGCTCTTAACTGCTGAGCCAACTCTCCAGCCTCCAACCCTATCTTTTTGTTGTTGGTGGTGGTCTTTTTGAGACAGGGTCTCCCTGTAGTCCCAGCTAGTCTGGAACTCACTATGTAGACCAGGCTGGCCTTGAGCTCACAGAGATCCACCTGCCTCCCGAGTGCTGGGATTAAAGGTGTGCACCACCATGCCTGGCTTTTTTAAAAAAATAAATAAATAAAACAAAAACAAAACAAGTTCTGCCAAGTTTTTATTAAAGAAAAACAATCCAGGTTTACTTTTCACCTGTCTGCTCTGGCATGCTTCTAATAATACCAGAATCACCTGGGTCGATGATAGCCAGTACGCAGACTCCATAGTATTTCCTGCATGCTGTGCCCAATTCAATATTATTGCCTCTGTAGTGATGGATGCCAGTTTGGGTCAACTTGGCATAGTATTCTATTTCAGATTTCCTTAAAGCTGGGCAGTTGTTGGTGAGGATGACCAGTTTGGCCTTGCCCTGCTGGTCATCTTCAGAGTCTACTTGTACCCCAGCATGTACTTTCCACTTTTCATAACAAGCTGGAGCCTAGAGTTGATCAACTCCAGAGACTTTTTCGTCTTCTTTGTGGCCACCATCTTCGTGCCTTGGGTGTGGATGGCCCCCAACCAAGAGCAGCCACCAAGATGGCTAGGGAGGGAGAAAGCGAAAAACCCTATCTTTTTTTTGGTCTTTTTGAGACAGGGTCTCCCTGTAGCCCCAGCTGGCCTGGAACTCACTATGTAACCAGGCTGGCCTTGAACTCACACAGATTTGCCTGCCTCTGCCTCCCGAATGAGTGCTGGGATTAAAGGCATGTGCCACCATGCCCAGCCCAGAATACCCGATCTTAAAGAAAAGAGAAACCATATCTTAAAGGAAAGAGGGAGGAAGAGAAGGAGGGAGGGAGAGAAAAAGGAGGGAGGGAGAAAGGGAGGGAAAGGAAAGAAGGAAGGAGAGAGAGAGAGAGAGAGGAAGAAAATTTGGGGCTGGGGGGCAGCCTCAGTGGGTAAAAGCCCTTGTTAAGTAAGAGCACCTACTGGCCAAGCATGAGGATCTGAGTTTGAATCCCCAGCACTTACATGAAAAGTCAGGTGCAGCCATGTACTCACCTGTAACCCTACTGCTGGGAAAGGAGCACAGAGACAGAGGCTCCCTGGGGCCTGCTGGCTGCCAACCTAGCTCTGGGTTCAGTGGGAGACCCTGTGTCAAGGGAATAAAGTGGAGGGTGATAGAGTAGGACACCCGACCTCCTCTGTGGCCTCTGTGAATGTACATGGGTGAGGATACCTACATACATACACACATATATCATGTACACACACACACACACACACACACACACCATTGTCTTGGTGAACTTCCTGTCAGATCTGATTAGATTGATAATTTTTTAAAGATTGATTTTATTTTTTTTTAAATATTTTATTGGCCAGGTGTGGTGGTGCACACCTTTAATCCCAGCACTGGGGAGGCAGAGGCTGATGGATCTCTGTGAGTTCAAGGCCAGCCTGGTCTACATAGTGAGTTCCAGGACAGCTGGGGCTACAGGGAGACTTGTCTCAAAAAGGCAAAAAAAAAATTATTATTTTTATTTTATGTGTATGAGTATATTGCCTGAATATAGGTAGGTGCACCTGTGTTGTGCAGTGCCTGCAGAGATCAGCTCACAACTGCCAGTAAATCCAGCTCTGGGGAATCTGACACCCTCTTCTGGCCTCCAAGGGCACCCACACACATGTGGCGCGCACACACACACACACACACACAAAAGAAGAGAAAAATAAATTTTAAAAATTTAATGAATGAACAAATAAATAAAAAGCATTAAAATAATTAACATATATATGGATAAATACCATCAGTTTTCATTATTAATAAGCTTCAGTTTCTCATGTTTTAGATAAAAATAAAACTTACCATTTTATTCCAGCAACCCCTAAGGATGGTCTTGGGCCTCTTCCAAGATGCATGTTCCTTGCTCTGCTAATCATAGGTCTGGATGACATGTAATCAAACCAAACAGGCAGGCCTGAGGGACCAGAAGCAAGGAGTTAGAGTCAAGACACATTTAGGAAATAAAACCACCTACACTTGATAAAAAAGAAGTCAGCCAGGAATGACTCCAGATGTGTGATTGGGTTAAGGCTATGCCACTTCCTACATTGAGAAGCACAAAGGCCAGGTGTGGGGTAAATAAACAATCATATGTTCATTCTGATCTGAGATGTTTGTGAGATGCTTAGGTGAAGCAGAATGCACCAGTCATCCATAGCTGTGTAACAACCATCTCCAACATAAGTGCCTTAAAATAGCAACCATGTAACTTAGCCATGACCATAATTCTGTAGCTCAGTAATTGGGTAAGGCTCAACTGGCAGTTTCATCTAGGGTTACTCAAGTATCTGCAACCTGGAGGTTTTACTGGGGCAGGATGGGGCTTCTTTTTCCATGGCTGGCAGTTGGTACTAGCTGGGAGCATCAAACTAGTCCAGACTTCCCATGACAGCAGAGGAGCTCCCATAGCGAGGGAGGGCAGGCCTCCAAGTGGGAGTTCTTGTAACATATCTATTGATCCCATTGGCCAAAGCTGATGACAAGTCCAAACTCATGTGGGAGGGGTCTACACTGAGGCATGTTGCACTGGGGGCATTACTGGAACAA